GTTTGTGTACACCCCTTCAAGTGTGAATAAAGTTTAATTTGGGATCCCAGTAAGTAGATTTTGTTTGTTTGTGGGTGCAGCGTTTCCAGTGGGAAAATATATTTCATCACTCATCCAAGTGATTTCTTTATAAGGCCGGGAAAACCTGCAGTCAGCTGAGACTCAAGAAGTCACTTGGATGAGTGATGACACAGTGAAAACACTGCATCCATATGAACAAAATCAACATTTCTGGGATTGCTTTACTTGGATTATTTAGCACGCATCAAGACATTTAATTTGACATGGTAAAATAAGAATATTAGCTAGAGCATCACAGCAGTAACTAACACAGCATTGTCTTCTTTTCCAGGGGGTGTTGCATTGAGTTTGGCAATAATGGCTGTAACTGCTTTGGATTTTGGCCAAAGTACAAACATTTAGCACTGTTTGTAGTCTTAGAGTGTATGTTTTAACAAATTTGTTTTGTGCATTCAATTATTTCTTTGTGATTTTTTTTTCTTTCATTAAAGCTATAACATGAATGCAGCATCACCACCCATGTGCCAGTGTGCATGGGAGCAGCCAGATCTTATGAGGTTGGAGAGTGCACGTGAACACGTGCCTGTATGTGAGCGGTGGTGCACGGTGGGTCCGCATTGAAAAGGGGGGAGGGGTGCACGCAGCGCTGCATTTCACTTGATCTCGAACATCAGAGCAGATAGATATAGCTAAAGCGATTAAATGAGAGGAGCACCTTGCGTCACTGGCAAGGTGGCTGCCCTGGATATGTGAATGGATTAAGAAGGGAACTTGAGTGCATGAATGGACAATGAATGAATATCACAAAATTTTATTCCCTCTTTAATAAATCTAAATCTTCCAGTACGCACAGAGTACCCTCAAACTGATATGAAGATATTCAATGTTCTTTTTGCAGTCCCCCAGACTCCCTGACATTAAAAGTAAAATCCTGATTATAAAGTTTAAATTAAAAGCAGCAGCGCTCTGGGCTCAGAGTACAAGATGTCAAAGAAATGATCTACTGTATGGATCATTCATACAGAGCGAGTCGCCAAAATTTTGATGACTAACCAAAACCCAGATCCCTGCAGACCTCAAGGTTTACAGCCTGACTTGAGATTAGTGAGTTTGTGTCGTACTGTTAAAGCATTTCTGGTTTTGGGGCTATAACCATTTCTTTCTTATGGTGGGAGAAGTGATGGTTAATGGGACCAGTATTTGTTCATTCACATTTCTTTCTGACTGTGTGTTTTTTATGTCTTTCTTTTTTAAAAATAGAGGTCGTTTGGAGTCCAGTTCATGCACTGAATCAAGTCATTTTTGCTCCTCCAATATTTAAGTTGAGTTATTATGATTTTCCTAATTTTTTGTCACACCTACTGTACATCTACAGTCACCAGCTACTTTGTTAGATATGTGAGCACGTGCTCATCAGCTGCCCATTACGGTAAATATCTAAAGCCAATCACGTGGCAAAAGCTCAAAGCATTTAGGCATGTAGATGTGGTGAAGTTCAAACTGAGAATCAGAATGTGGAAGAAAGGTTATGTTGAACATGAAATCATTGTTAGTGCCATACGGGCTGGCCTGAATATTTCAGAAACTACTGATCCACTGATTTCCCCACACAGCTGCTGGGGGTGTAATGGTGTGGAGGATATTTTCTTTGGACCCCTTATTATAAATTAAGCATCATTTAAATACCATAGCCTACCTGAGGATTGTTGCTAAATAGTGTCTGCTGATGAAAGCTTCCAACTGATTAATATGGCATGTGACAAAGCTCAGATGATCTCATACTAGTTTCTTGAATATAGTAATGAACTCACTGCACTCAAATGGCCTCTACAGTCACCTGATTCCAGTCTAATAGAGCACCTTTGGGATGTGGTGCAACAAGCGCTTCTTGTCATGGATGTGCAGCCGCAAATCTGCAGCAACTGTGTGATGCTATCATGTCAGTATGGACAAAAATATTTCCAGTACATTGTTGAATATATGTTATTAAGAATGAAGGCGGGTTCATTCAGCAAGCTGTACTTAATAAAGTGGCCAGTGAATATATGGTTTGCATATACTGTACATTTAGGTCTCCCTTTTCTGGTGTTGGCTCTCACCAAAACATAAGGTTGGGGTTATGTCAGTGGGTCTTACAAGCAACCCCTGCAAACCAAAGTTCAGCTCAATTTCAGAGGAAGTTTTTTTTTCTGTCTTTTGCTCTTTATGATCCCATAAAGAGCCAAGGGATGGGAGGGGGTGTTTTTAATATGATCATTTCAGCTGACTTTGAGTACACAAGCCCCACCTGCCTTCTATTTGTGAGGCTCATTGAATTAGAACAACACTGGTTTGGAGATAAAATGAATTGTTTCATAAAGCGGATAAACTGATAAACTGTTCACAGCTACTCTAGTACAACCTAAGAATAAAAAGACAGAGCTGGAAATCAGCATAAAAAGCCCCCTTTAAGGCCACCCTCCCTTTAGGCCCTCTTTCTTCTGCCCCTTATGGGTGGGGCCGCTGTGCTCACAGCTAGAGCTATGTGTCCGAAATGGTCATTTATGGGATATTCCCTCTCAATGACATCATACAGAGCCAAGAGCAGAATAAACCATATAAAGCGAACGTTTAGAGGGATCTGACACCAGAGCTTTAGATTACATTTTGACGATTTTTGCTGTGATACGGGCATATATATATACATATATATACATATATATACATATATATATATACTATATAATCATATATTATATACTATATATTATATATACTAATATATATAGTATAATGTTCTCTTTGAACTGACATATGGAACGGAGCACTAGGTGCGGTGACTCCCAAGCTAGGCGAGTGGCTCCAGCAGATCCCGGGAATAACATCGGAGATCTCTGTCCAGAAGAGCGCAGTCCTGGGAACAGCTAAGATACTGCGCAGGACCCTCAAGCTCCCAGGCCTCTGGTAGAGGACCCGAGCTTGAAGGATAAACCGCCCGCAGGGGCGTGCTGGGTGTTATATATATATATATATATATATATATATATATATAATATATATGATATATTTTATATTGACAGCGAGAGAGAGAGAGAGAGAGAGAGAGAGAGAGAGAGAGAGAGAAAATTTAAGTAAATATATAATCCTCAAATGTATAAAACAAACACGATTTTTAACGTTATGTAGATGTAAAGACCTCTTTTATTTACTTATTGTAGCTTCTCAGGTTCACTGCAGAAGATTATACAGAAAAAACAGAGGTTGTATCAAAAAGGAAAATTTATCGCATTGTGTCCTGGAAATGCGACAAAAGCTGCAAACAGTGCGTTGCTTCCAAAAGGTGGGCATTGACCAAATACATTTAAAAAAAAAAATTCTTAATTTCTTATCTTGGGACTCCACAAGAAAGCCAAGAGAAGGGTGTGTGTGTGTGTGTGTGTGTGTGTGTGAGTGTGTGTGTGTGTCCAGCGAGGGTCAGAATATGGATTATTTGAACGAAATAGTCGTCGAAAACAGCCCCTTCCAACTACCCCTTACCCCAACCTCCTCCCTCCCCCAGCTTGGGGTCTGAATTAATGTGCTTCTATTTTTGGTTCTCCCGTGTTTCCAGGGGAAACCTAATGACGCAATGACGTCAATGCAGGTCACCAGCAAGAAGCAGACTGGAGGAATTGAGTGGCTTCCATTAGAGGTTTTGCAGCATTTTCCGGAGAGGAGGGAGGAGGACCAAAATGGATTAAGATTAAGAAATGCACAGAAATAAAAATAAATGTAGAGCGAAAATGAATGGGAGGCAATGCGACTGACGTCTGGCGAGAGAAATGACGGAGGGAGGGCGAGAGGGGGGTGGAGGGAGGAGGAGAAGGAGGAAGGATGGAGGGAGGGGGCGGGGGGGCTACTGCTGCATATCAATGGGTGCCGTTCAAATTCCCAGGGATTATTGGAGGGAAAAAAGAAGGGGGGCGGGAGGGCGAGAGAAAAATGATGCACGCTTCCTCGGATCGGTGATGACTGGGTGAGCCCATTCTATTTTTATTATATTTTATTATATCCTCTTTGCTTATTGTTGAAGTAAGTAAAACAACAACCTGCCGTTCCGTTTTCGTGGTTATCGACTGTGTTGCTGTGTACAGAGCCATTGAGAAATTTACACCACCACCACCCCCTCCCTAGAGTTTGATGGTGAAGCGTGAGTGGCCGGTGCTTCCTCCGGAGGGGAGACGTGTTGATGTGTGATGATAGGAGCGAGAGGTGGGGGGTTGGCTTGGGGGGTGGTGGAAAAGATATTAAACTAAAAGTGTCTTCGTGTTGACTTCCACCGAGTTGATTGCAATTCTTTATCATTAACCGCAACGGTGGACGTGCTCTGTCTACAGTCCTGCTATTCCGATGCAACAGCAATTCTGCACATATTCACCGCTGACAGAGAGCGTGCACCGGGAGGAAATACATTTTACTATCTATAATTACAATTCCGACGACTGGCCGTAATCTTTCAAACACTGGAAACACCATTAAAAGGATCAATGCGATACTTGCAAGCGGTCTAATTGCAATGCCAGTCACCCAACATCTTGCATCAGTTTTGGAGAGTGAATGTAAACGATTCCGGCGAATTTCATTAAGATCGAGCTATCTATAGAAATTGAGCTGGCTGATCGTCGTTTACCAAGAAGCTACTTTTCATAGCCGCGCGCGTGTGTGTAGGTGGGGGGAAGGGGGGCAGTCGTGCGCGTGGAACCTAGAATAAGTAACGTTACTTCTTTTTTTGGCTCGGAATAGCAAAGATTCCCTTTCCGCCGATGCACGCGCTCGCGCACGCATACAAATATTGCCCACTTTGCCGGCTTTCAAATGCGTTATGGCAACAAGTGCCAGTTCATGCACGATCAGTTCGTCCCGCAGATTACAAATCGACATGTTGGCTCTTGTTTGCCTGCCTTTTTAAATTTCTTTTTCTTTTCTTCTTTCTTTCTTTTTCTTTCTCTCTTTCTTTTTTTTTTTTTTTTTTTTTTTTATCCTTTGTGTGTGGGGGGGTTTTCAGCCTCGTTTTTAACCAACTCCACTTTCCAGTCTTTCCACAAATTGAGCTCCGGTGCAGGGCGTTCACCACGCGGGGAAGAGCTGGTTTCAGCACCATGGATAGATTACTTGTACATTTCAGGACCATGGAGAGCGCTCTTCTTTCACCCATCGTTTTTAGGCGCTGTGGGGTTTTGTTGTTGTTTCTGTGAACACTGGACTAGTCATTCTTTGCTGTAAAGGTCGGCTTGCCTCTGCAACTTTTGTTAAGAAGGAGATCCTAAAGTGGCTGAGGGCCTGCGCAACCGACACTACGAAAATGAGATGAATGGAGCCCCATCATCGTTGCATTCATTAAGTAAGTAAACGATCAGAACCCCCTATCTTCCATCGCTTTCAATCGTATATGAGATTAGTTGGGAGAAAGTAAGATATATTTAGAGAAGAGCAGAAACTGTGACACTTCCCCCCCCCTCACATATGACGCATGTGGTGAGGTAAGTGTGGCAGATGCCTACGTGTGCAGATGGTCCAGTGTGCTGGTCCCTATCCGCCCTGGGCTTGATGTAACACCCATAGGCAAAGGCCCTGTCGTCCAGATGTGGTCGTGTGCTGTTCGTGCCTTCTCAGTACACACCACAAAAGCCGTTTTTAAAGCACCCCACCCCCTTTTTATGAACTTGTTCTTTACTGGAGCGTGAAATTTTATGGTCTATGGAGCTGGACTCATAGTTTAGCTTGTGTGGACTGTCTCACTAGACTTTCTCTTTGTTTTTTCTAGATTTGAGGTGGATCTTTATTTCAGATCATTTTTTCATGCTGCACATCCAAGAATATTTCCTGTACCGATCATTGCATGCACATCTTCAAAATATTTCCCATAGTCTTTGATGAATATGCATTATTATGACTATTATTATTACTACTACTATTATTATTATCATCATCATCGTCATTATTATTATTATTATTATTATTATTATTATTATTATTATTACTCTTATTATTATTATTACTCTTATTATTGTTGCTACATTCATGAAACTGGCAATGCTGTCTGCATGATTTGAGCTGTGTGAATTGTTCATATTGTGTTTATATTATTTCTTACTTTTTAAAACTAAATTCTCACTGTGTTTATAGGTAATGAAATTGACTACAGCATGAAGCTTTTTTTTTCAAGACTAGTGTTAAACAAAAATGGTGTGAAACAGCATTTCATTGTATTTTGTTGTTAGTAAATGTTGAAAACCAGAGGATCAAACCAAACGTTGACCAAGAGACTGTATATAAAAAGTTTATGCGATTAGCCCTGTTGCACCACGTTATCTGTAGCCTTCAGCAGGAGCAGTTATGAGTTTCAGCAGGTGGTGGCTCTGCAGGTAGTTGTTTAGTTTCAAAAAGGGTGTGGCATATTTAAATCAGCTACCTGTGTACCTGAATACCACTGTACAAAAAAATGCAGCTAAATTATTACTTTTACCACTGTCGCCTTCACATAGTAAGGCATACTGATATAATATGGTGGCTGCTGTATTATATTTCATATAGGTTTTTTATATCTCTGAGGTTTATTTGTCTAATTTAGCCTTTTAGAGCTTTTTGATAGTTTGTTAAGGTAGTTTGGTCTGAGAGGTTTGACACATTTGCAGCTGATTGAAGCTGAATCAGAGATTTATTAGTGATGGTCATTTTTCTGTGAGTCACATGGGATTGAAAAGAGCTATTATTGTTTCTGCGTGTGACAGAAATGTAATGTTAAACAATAAACTTTTCTCAAAAGTAGACTGTAGTCTTTATGATCAGGCTACATAACAATGTTCACTTCAGACATTCTGTTAGTGGGCAGCTATATAAACGCTGACCTTCGTTTTGAGAAACCAAACTCAAAAGAAAGCGATGTTCACTGAACTTTTTGCTCTAAATATAAGGAAAACGTGAATGTTTTCATTTCCTGGAAAGGCATGTGCAGGATTATCGAAAGCTGAAGATCTTGAATGTGGAGATAGTGGGATTAGTTTGAGGAAAAAGAGATCCCATTGTTCCCTGAAGGACGGGACTATGTAAGCTCACTAGTGTCCAGCTGAGATTAGTCAAAAGTTATGTGGCGCTGAAGGCCAACAATGAAGACTTGACTTATCAGGTGAAAGAACCAAGCAAATATGCCGACCCGTGTCCTTTTTGGCAAGAGGGCTAAAGAATTAGTGGAGTACAAGATGGTTGCACACCAGTTTCATCATCACTAAGCGGTGACAATGTTGCTCTTTGAAAATGTACCAAGAACATCAAAGACCACGCCAGGTCCACAATTACAGTTCCTGTCCGTTGCGACATCTGTGTGAATGACAACCTAATTTTCAGCCACTGGGGTGCCACGTTGCCCTGCTTGCACTGAAGTGAATGGGTGGTGTCAAAAGCTCATTTAATTTTTCGTCTCTTGCAGTGCCATCAGGAATTCTCAACTTAAAGTTTGCATAATATTGAACCTTTCTCCATCTGTCATCTCCATCTGAGGAAAAATTACAGCTACTTCTTTTTGATCTTTTGCTGATAGAATAAGGGAGAGACTGTGTGTTATTAGAAGAAGATCTTGTGATCAACCCTTTTGTTTCATTCCTAAAGCCATATAAAGCTTCTGGTTGTACATAAATACATACATATAGTTTTAACGTATGTGTGTGTGTGTGTGTGTGTATCTATCTATCTATCTATCTATCTATCTATCTATCTATCTATCTATCTATCTATCTATCTATCTATCTATCTATCTATCTATCTATCTATCCATCTATCTATCTGTCTGTCTGTCTGTCTGTCTGTCTATATATCTATCTATCTATTGAGGAGGATATATATAGAACTAGGGATGCAACGATACCAATTTTTTCAAATCGATACGATACCGATACTTGGATCTGAGTACTTGCCGGTACAGAGTACAAAAACTGATACTTCTACCACCCACACACACACGCACACACACGCAATGAATTGGAAGACAGGTTTTATTTTATTCTCTGCCGATAATAAATAATATCTTAGTAAAAATGACCACAAAAAGATTTCAAGTGAAAAATAAGTACTTCTGTTAAATTATTGCAGTCTCCACATTGTAATTTAACAAAATATCACTGAACTATTGGCACTGTCTCGAGCTTTCAGAATAATAAATAAACACTTCTGTTTGGAATAAACTAAATACAAATTAGGTTTGAGAATAAAATAAACGTTTAAATTGTTGCAGAGTGTCCATATTGTAAACAAACAAACAAAATAACGAAAGTATTTGGCATTGACGAACGAACTCCCCATCTGTCCGTGGATCATCAGTCCACTGTGCCGTTAAACCAAAGACTGACATCGCGCACACACTGCTTGTCTTTACCACTTTAGAAAGTTTTGGCACCATTATCTCCCTGATGTGTGGGCGGCTGGGAATTTCATATCGCAGCTCGAGTATGCTGAGAAGAATCCTATGTTTTCCACGACTGGCATTGGCTGTTCATCCAGAGCGATAAAATGAGTCAGAGCCTCTGTTATTTTAACTGCCCGTGGATTTTCTCTTGACATTTTTCATCGCTTTTCCAAAACCTGAGTTAAAGTTGGCTGTTCCGGTCCACACTGCTGACATTTTGTTTAGCCTAGCTACAGCAGCCTCCAGTTTCTCTTTTTTTATCTGGAGCTGCCAGTCTGACTCGTCTAACCCTGTGCCTGTTTAGCGCGGGATGTCCCCCTAGTGGCCAATCTAAAAAACTACAAAAAAATGACAAGCCACCCTCTGATTAATGAAATAAGTTAGTATCGGTTCATACTTTTATGAGTATGAGTACACACACATTTTACAGTATCAGCCTCGATACCCGATACCAGTATCGGTATCGGTGCATCCCTATATAGAACTTGTATTTTTTTTTACCAGAGCGCCTTGGCCCCCTGGTTTATGTTAAAATTAAAAAAAAGATAGCTACTTAATTTTCTTTAAATTAAACTCTATTAAACTCTAAACCTGGCAGTATAAAATTTCCACAGTGGAAATCCATAACCTTTGCATGCTTAGGATTCTGCATTTATCAAGATCTCCAGCTACCTATTTAAAAAGAAATCATACATTAAATGTCCAGTTATACACTGAATCTTACCCTCTTAAATGTAGTCATGTTAGTGTTGGTTGTACACTGTGTTGCTACCAAAGCAGAAGAGATTAGATTAAGAACTGACCAATAGGCAAATTCAGCTAGTAGTTTAACATTTGATCAAGCTGATACAGAAATGTAGAGCTAGACTAGAATGGCTTGTTTCAGCTCTATCTCCCTGTACGCTTTACTAATGTGGAAGACATCGACTCTACATTTTGTCATATTCTTTGTCATTTTCCATCATTCAGGGCTTTTTACTTCAACCACCTTTAAAAACACGAACACATGTTTTATAAATTCACGACATCCAAACCATTTCTTCGTCAGTCTGCGTTTTGACCAAGACTTGTTAAACAGAGAGCGTGCGAGCAGTGGTCTTCCCGACCATGATGACTGAAACTGCTAACTGCTGTTTGATTATCCACACCGTGGAGTGTTAAAGTCATTTCTGAAATGCAAGTCTAAAATCAACAATTCACAGTTTATTGTTAGTGGACACAAACCCACAGTTGTTCTGCTTTCTGCACAATATTCCAAGACAATTAAAAGAACAATTAGAAAGATTTTTTGGTTACTATGCAGAAACTGCACTTTTTGAGGGAGATGTGTCTTATAGTCTTCTCTCATATTTGGGTTTTTATGTCTTTCTCTAGGTGCTGTGGACATTCTCATAGGGAACAAAGGATCAAAACTGTCCTTTGTGGGTCTTTTTGCGGTCTGGGCTTGCTGTTCCTAAGGCAGTAGCCAGGAAGCCCTTACCCCAAAAAGTATCTGCACTGGATTCTGGCATCTGAAGCAGAAATCACCCTTTTTTCTTTCTGATAAATCATTGCATATCTTCCCTGTGAGTTTTGAAATGAGGACACTATATATTGATTGCATTGAGTTGCTTTAAGAACCTAAGCAAGTTGTGGCTTTTGATTGGTTCAAAACAGAAGAACTTACCTTTTTAAATTGGAAGAATTTTAGAAGCTTAATGCAGGATGTGGCACAACACATGTCTGCAACCTGAGAAAAATCAGATCGGAAAGAATCTTATTACAGTAAGAAACAGCAAGAAAGAGACACGAGCTTTATTCATCAGTCTGGTAAAGCTCCACTTTCCAAAGTGAGCTTTAATATCAAATTTCTTTCTGGGAAAAATCTTATAGTGTGCCAGTTTAGACACACCAGGCAGTGTAATCCACGTAGCAACTTGTCTTACTTTGTCAGATTTGACAAAAAAACCCCAAAAATTCCCACTTAGATCTGTCATATCTCATTAATGTGGAACACTTTTGCTTTTTCTTTGTCATGCAATGCAAATAATGCATTATTTCTTTTACATATGTTGGCACTTATATATGTTACTAGAAGAATCTTCAACAGATGCTGTCTTCATGCATTCCTATGTAGACTGTGTTGTACACGTTCAATGATTTTTTATCGTCTCTGCCTAGTCAGTTGTTTATGAAAGTGCATAGAGAAATACAACATGATTGGGTAAGGCATTTATGACTGTCTGATCCTTTGTACACTTTCAGTGTATTCCAAGTGCATCTATGCCTTCCTCATATTTTCATGCTACCGTATAGTGGTGTACTATTGTAGAAGGAACTAATAGGATGGCATTTTCTCATTGAGACATACATTTTAAAATGTAACCCCAGAAACTGCATTAACAGGATGTAAATAGTGACTAAATAAGCTAAGAGGAAATTGTTGTGTAGCTCCAAGGCTTTGACGTTCTATGTGTTACATAAACATGATTATTTATCCTGCCAATGCCACAAGCCTTCACAATGTACTTTTTATACATCAAAACCCGAGGCACTTTCTGTGCACTTCACTGGCCATGTGACTTCATCGCTTGGGGAGCGTTTTTATGCCTGCATATAGCACACGAGGGTGCACGAGGCATTCTTTACGGTATCATGAGCAATTACAATTAGGAGAACATGTTAAGTGATGTTATGCTGATGAGCTTGTCCCTTATGGTTATGGCAGTGATCAACTTTTTGCACCCTTCTACTCCTTTGACACTTTTCTATTTCTTTTCCTTTCAAAACCTCTAGAAGCTTCCTTGTAGTAACGTGAATGTTCCCTGTTAAATGTTGTGCCTTGTTAAATATAGCTGAAATAAAATTTTGATGGAGTATTGTGTTGTGTTTTTGTCAATCCAGTGTCCAAACTGTAAGCATTGCGTAGTTTTGATTAGTTATTTCGGCAACATATTCATATGTGCAGGATATTAAACTACACTTGTTTCTCTGTTGGTGATTGATGAATGAATGGGTTGTGATTTCTAACTCTTGTTTCACAAGGTGTATCAGTGACGTTTAAGAATCCAGCTCCTAAAAATATCAAGAATTTAATTTTATTTCTATTTTTAAGCCTGAAAGAACAACGCCAGCAAATTCCAGATGAAGTCATCCACTTGTCCTGCCTTGTGGGTTGTTACAGTATCAAAAAGACTAATAGGAGTGACGTGCTTTTGCACAAGGGCCTCTGCAACTACTAAATGACCAAACAAGTCTCTGACTGACCTTCTGATTGGAGCTAGAGATTCACAGTTAAATTTGTGTGTCACGCATAGCCTTGGGAAATAGAGCAGTGCCTCATCCATGATAGGGATGTAGGTTGGTGGATGCACTTTGGCTCCTTTCAGTTGTAATGGAGTAAATTGAATTGGTAACCACAGGCAAGAGATGGTAGATAAGGATTTATTTATTTATTTATTGTCTGGTATTACACATTTTTCTTTATATCAGTAGCTTTGGATAATCATATACAGAAGAAAATGCCTGGAAAGTAAATGTGTGGCATTATTCTTGTCTTTACAATAGTGAACCATAAAGTAATTTTACTCTTGCCTTCAATAAAGACTAAAAGTCACATGTAAAGATTTAAATTTCAATACACTAGACACTGAAATTAGTTCCTAAACTTGCACAATTACAAAAAGATGTTAACACAGATGTTAAGAAAAAGAAACGAGTGCCATAGAAAAGTTAACCTGGTGACACATGAACTCTGGTTTGGGATAAAATGTATCCTATGTACCGGTAGCCGGGATTAGTTGGACCTGATAAGTATAAAAAGTGAGATTTATCTAGGAATAGTAAATTGCTAGGTTGTTACATAGTTGCTACGTTTTGTTTTTTTTTGTTTAAAATGTATATCCTCTTGCAGAGATAATTGATTTATTTTATAGCATAACATAAGAATAGTGTGCATAAAAGGTAAAAAATCCCAATAGCAGGTTAAAGTGAAATACATTCAAACTAACTACAGTAAATACCTGGAAAACACCACACAGTTGTTTGAAATGTAGTTTATTGTAATTCACAAATAAGACCCTTTAAAAATTCAAGGACTTAAATGCTGCGATGTTGTGTTTCATAGAAGATTTAAAGCTCGAAAGAAAATTCATAACAAGGGAAGAATTTTACACTGTGCCGAGAGTCAAAACAAACGGGGAAACCGCTCATCTCTGGGTGAGTATAGCCATCCAGAGGATGGATTGAGAACTGCAAGACATGGATCTCTGTTACAAAGACTAACGGAAGAATTTTAAAAAGCACAGAATAATTCTTAACAGTAAAGTTTCTTCCTGAAATGTTTTCACAGGGATTAAGGGTTGATAGAAACCTTACTCAGTATGTCCAAATGCATACTGGCAGTCTCCTCCCTATGAGGTATTCAACACAAGATTACGGTAAAAGGCTGTAAATGTGAACACTTTCATGCCTTGTTTAATTTACCAAAACATACTTTCAAAGATCATGTCTGTGTTTTTATTCTCAATCTTGCCAAGTACTATTCATTTATTGTGAGTTGGCTCAGCAGAAAAGAAATCCATGTATTTGTGCTGCTGGCAGGAGTGGAAAAATTATTGTTATTCCAACCTCTGGAAATGACGCAAAAGAAAGAATCATGCACATCTGTTAGTTGTCTTTAGCAGTTTAATCATTATCTTTCTGTAGTTTAGGATTTCTGAAATCAGAACACACAAATGTAGTTACATGAAATGTAATTAAAATGTGCATACTGTCACGGTGATGGGCGGACTCAGGCACAGACTTTATTAATCACTCCGCTATGTACACGTGAAGGGGGGGACACCAGGGTCCCGGGGATCAATAGGCCGGGGAAACACACTTTTTCACACTTGCTCCGCTCCTTGTCCAAACACTCCTCACACGAGCAACCCACTCACACTCACGGGGTCCAGGAGTCGAAACGGGTGGGTCCAGATAAATTTATAAACATAGACGAGGGTAAGTAGGCAGCAAGCACGGGAACAACTGACTCACAATGAAGCCAGGCAATACTGACGAGGGTTACTCAATATTCCAGCGACGAATAGCTCAGAGCCCCAGCCTTAAGAAGAGCCAGAGATCAACTGCAATTCACTCGAGATCAGCTGCAGGTGCGTGGGTCAAGGGCGGGAGCCCAATCAGAGCTCCACCCAGGCAGACAGGTAGGAGAGAGAGAAAAACAACAAACACTTGTGGCCACACTGGGCTGGCCGGGGAGGCACAGGGACCATCACACATACCACAGGTAGAGTTAGGAAGAAATGTATGCATAGAGTACACAGGTGTGATCTTATTTTCAGACAAGAAAATTACACGCCAGTGGATCACAACTTTGTAACTTTGGTATACTATCTGAAACTGAGAGCTACATATTATCAAGGTACGAAAATAAGAGATATTTCATTTGTTCTAAATGGGAGAACAAAATTAAGAAATATTTACATATACAGTTTTCTTTCAGGTCTTAAAAGTAGGTAAATACAACCTCAGATGAACAACATCACATCATGTATTACTCTGTCATAATGTAGTCAACAAAAACGTATCTAAGAATGAAGAATGCAGAAATGTGTGAAAAACTAAAGGGATTGCATGATACAATAGGAAGTAGAGGCACCCTGAGCAACCATAACTTGAAGTAATGACTTCATCAGTAGCTCACATCATTGTGGAGCAATTTTGTCCCACTCTTCTTTACTATGTTGCTTCCATTCATTGAGGTTTGCAGTCATTCATTTATTCTTTCATTCAATCTGGTTAAGATTTGGACTTTGACTGGGCCATTGAGACATCTTAAATATTGTCTTTTTCACTTATTCTTTTGTATGATTTGCTGTTTTGAAATCAGTGTCCTTATGATGACCCGTGCTGTGTTCGATTTTCTGCAAATGTGGTGTGGTGTGTTCTGGCCAAATATCTCCACTTTGGTCTCATCAGTCCAAAGGACATTGCTCCATAAGTCCTGTGGTTTGGTCGAAGGCAGCTTTGCAAACTTAACCTGTGCTGCCATATTCTTTTTAAAGGAGAGGGTTCTCTTCTGGCAACGCTTCCAAACCTTCTAATGTTATTGTCATGAACTTTAACATTAACATGCTAACAGAGGCCTGTAGGGTCTATGATTTAGCTCTTGGGTTTTTTGCAGTTTTTCTGAGCATTGGACAAGCTGACCTTGAGTCAAGGCCGAATTTGCAGGGATTTCTACTCCTGGGCAGATTGCCAACTGTCTTGAATGTGTTCCACTCATGCATATTCTTTCTTACTGTAGCAACAATTGCTTCTCTAAGATCTTTACTGGTGTCTTTCCTCATTGGCATTGTGCTACCATACACCTGCATGCTACTGACCAAGCTAGCAAAACTTGTGCTTTTATAGAGCACAATCTGAGATTGTATTTCACTAATTACATGACCTTCTAAGGGCTAGGTTATCTTTATTATGTCCTAACACATAAAACATTACAATTGAAAGTGGGGGTACTTTCTCATGTCTCTATACTTCAGAGAAATATTCAAATTTAAATGACAAGGCCAATTTTTCCTACTGATCTTTGATCATTTATTTTTATCTATTAATAGAGGTAAAGTTAAGTGAAGCTTTAGCTTTTTAAAACAAATTGAAGTTAATTTTAGTATGTTGCAGGAACTCATACTAAAGGAGGCTTTAGTAACCACAGCAGTTGCACTGCACTCATGTGATGATGTTTAGTATGCTAATATGCTAACATGTGATGATGTTTAGCATGCTAACATTGACTACTACATGGTGTTGGAACCAACACATGTAGTAGTGTGAGGCTGATGGAACTAACATTTGCTTTCCAACTGCAAGACTTGGAAGTCGAGGCGTAAAACTCAAAAACAGCTTTATTGTAAGCCCTAACAAAACACTAAACAATAATACTTGATTAAAAAGACAAAACATGGAGAGACACAACTAAGAGGGACAACACAGCAAAGAACAAATGGAGAGTAAGACTATATGTAAACACCAGGTAATTAGGGAGATGGGAAACAGCGGGGAACATAGATGAACGGAATCTGACTAACACCACGAGGGAAGCAAAACTAAGAATTCATACAAGACAAGAGCCTATCAAAATAAAACAGGAAGTAACAAACACTGAGACAAGGACTAAGAAACCAAATAGGGACACGACTGGTTAGACAGAGAGGTAATGTTCCATAGCAGACGCAGAGGACAAGACACAGAGACAAAGCTGAGACACAAAACTAACATTATAACACAAGAAACTATGATAAAGGAATATAGATAACAAACTCAGAGGCACTTATGAAGAACTAACTAAAGAGTACAAAGTATAAACTTGAATCATCTTTTAATGCAGAAGAAATAATCACAAGATCGCAACAAAACTCAAAACATCCCAAAACTCAAAACGCTGGGTCAAAGACCCAGGACCATGATATTAAATGTATATAAAACTGTGGGAAAAGTGATTTACAAAGAGCAGGTTGAAAGTGAGCTAAGTGAGGTAAGTGATATCACATATAAAGCTGACAAAAGGAGGCCAGAACATTTCATTTTAATAGCTGATTTCTTTTTAAAGGTCAGTCCTGTGAATCCTGTCTGCGATGACTAATCTTTTGGGAGGTTTAAATCCTCTGCAATCATGCAATAATGCTTTAGTCATGTGTGTTAAACCACAACTATTTCCTTTGTAGACGAGTCACTTGGTTTCAAAAAGCCAAGTATGGGTGGTAAAGGTCAAATTCACTTGGTGCTCTGTCATGTTAACTTACTGGAAGTGACCTGAATACACTTTCCAGTTTTCTCCTCCCACTTGCCCATTTTTGCCTCAATGTATCATCTACTTTAAAAACAAAGTATTTCCATCTGCACTATGTTATTTCTGTAATACAAAGGAGCAACGTGGAGTACATATTATGATACGTACCATCTCAATATATTACCAACAACGATTAAAATTATGGGCATCAGCAACTATAGGATCGGCTTGGTATGACCTCTGAGTTTAAGGGAAGATTGATGCATGATGACAAATCCAGCCAAGCTGTGCTTGTGAAAAGAAAAGAAAAGTGAACAAAGCAAAAAAGAAGAATCTGTTTAGTGGAATATGTCATATAATTATCCACTTTTCTGTCAGGAAAAGATGGGAAAAATTGCCTTTATATACCACAAGTTTGTTAGATAGTAAGACAGAAAGTTGCATAAATACAGCTTAATTATGGAGCATTGTGTTTTCTTTTTATTTTCAACTTTCATTATCTGTGACTGTCATCTTTCCAAAGAACTCAGTCTCTTTAATTTGAAGACCAGCTCAGATTAATTGTGGTTGTTATTATTATAATAAACATAATTACTATAGTGTAATTATTATTATAAGCTGTCAACATGATCAGCTTAAGGACTGATTACCTTCTTCACAAAGATATTCCATATAAATATACACACGTATGTATATATATATATATATACACACGTATGTATATATATATATATATATACACACGTATGTATATTATATATTATATATACACACGTATGTATATATATATATATATACACGTATGATATATATATATATATATATATATATATATTATATATATATATATATATATACAATATTAATTTGAAAAAAAATATACATTAGAAATATATTTAAGAATTATATAATATATATATATATATATATATATATATATATATATATATATATATATAATATATATATATAAGATATATTATATATACACACATATATATACTTCAAATTTATATCTCAAATTAAATGTATATATATATACATACACACGTATGTATGTGTATATATATATATACATTTAGTTTGAAGATTTCACTGTAATATTTTTCTTCTTGTTGACAGAGAAAGTTTCTACCAACAAAGGATGATTTAAGGATGTTTTAAGAAGTAAGCTAAAGTGAATGTGCAGGGTTTTATTAGGACAGGGGTGAATAAAGATATTGTTATTACCCACATTTTCCTAAACCTGCAAACCCGGGAAGTTCAACTCGCAACTTAAATATTTAGACTAAAGCAGATATCAAATGCTTTTTAAAAAAATATCTGAAACACTCTATTGCTCAGTTTTTCTATACCCCCTTACACAAATTTACTGGTCAGCCAGAGAAGTTTTCAGTGCATTAGGAATAAGTCATATGTATGTTATGAAGATTGTTTACAGGTACAGAGAAAATGATTCATTGTGAATTAAATTAGTTACAGACATGTTATCCCTGCAATGACGCATCTGACTTACAAAAAGTGTGTTCTCTTGCATTTTCTTGCTTTTTCGGTTTTAAGCTTCTGTTGTGTGGTACATAAAAAGAAGTATAGGTATATTTACATGTATAGAGAACACGATTCAGTGAATTAATTTAGTTACAGACATGCTATCCCTGCCTTACAAAAAGACGTTCTGCCATGACCTGAGAACTTAACTGAGAACCTAAACAGACAACCCAGAAAATAGCTTGTCAACATGTAAAATAGCTATCAACAAAGAAAACAAACACGGAAGCAATCAGATAAAACGGTCTATTTACCTCGACGGTACCCTGTAAAGGTTTGAAGTCCAAGATTTTAGTGGTTTTCCAGTCATCTGCAGATTCAAAGGTTTCAGTGTTCAAGGATCTTCCACACTGTTCCACTTAACTCTCATGCCGTCACTGGTTTTATTACTGATTCCATTCCTGATCACGGCTAGTGAACTCTCAATGAAGTGAAGCTCTGACTGAAGACAAATAATGGTAAAATGAAAAGAATGAACAGAATATACTCCCTTTCACACACGCAGATGAGTCACAGTAACACCAAGACAACATTCAAAATTCAAAATCATACCGATATACCGTTATTTGTTTCCATACTGCATCAAATTTTTTTCCAGCAGACATTTTGCAACTCACAACTGTTTATCACAAATATTAGAACAAGAGCTGATAGGATGACTCACTTATACTAAACATGAAAAGTTCAAATAGCACTACATACACATTTTCTTTTAAACAGCTGTACTGCATGCACTCTGCACTGTGCCAGTCTGCCTACACATTTTCCAGTAACTCAAAGTTAAGATTAAAGTGTTACATTAACAACTGGCTTATACTAACATTGTTAATGATCATCGTAGGGGGAAAAAAAATAAGAACACTTGTGTCTGAGTCAGAGTGATCTGTTTTCTTATTGATATTTAATGGGAATTTCCTTTTTAATCAGTGCATGTTAAGAAGTTGACCTACAAGGGTCAGACTTACGTTTAAGATGTATCGTGGGGGGGATAGAGGAGGAGAACAGACCGAGGCAAGACTCAAGTTCAGGGCAGACTATTTAAATGTTGGAAACCTGCAAAGAAGCCAGTTAGAGGAGCACATTTCAAGAAATCCAGGTAAGAGATTAGATTTTTTTTCCCCACAGTAAATGCAAAAAATATCCAGAGGAAGACGTTATTAAGGTTATACTTTTTTTTTCTGCATGTTTTTATTATGTCTTTTTTTATATGGCTTTTTTCTTTTTGTCTATTTAATGAATTCATTTTTCCTTTTTAGGATGCGTAACATTCTGGCCCTTCTCTGCGTCTTTCTTATGGCAGCTCATCAGAGCACTAGTCTTCTCACAAAGGGAGAATCCATCAGAAACACCATACACAACATTGTAAACATTGCTCAGATAACCCTTGTCCACATTAAGAAACTAAAGGTACCAATATATTGATTATTTTTATGTTAATGCGATTTGCTGTTTATTTTCATTGCGTATACTGTTTTCTGCCTAAATTTTCTCATTGAGGAATGTTTTTATTCAATATTAAACTAAGCTTACGTATTTTTTTTTTTATTCTTAGTTGCTGGCTTCACCGATAGGTGTTCCCCCTCCTTCCATTGTAGGACTAAGTAATATAAGCCATGAGCTTGGAGTTTTGGATATTGAACTGCAGCAGCACCCTTTCCTCATCCAGATTCAGGCTGATGTCTCCAGCTTGGAAGGAAGGGTGCGCTCCCTCGCCTTCTCAATGGAGTGTCCCCTTAAGCCCAAACCAGCAGTACAGATGAATGAGAGTGTGTTCCCAGAAAGCCACCTTTACATGACAGTGACAAAGGTGCAGCACTACCTAGAGGAACTTCTTCTCAACAAGGGCAAACTCAAGCTCTGCTAACAAATTTAGCTTGATGCATATATAGTAAGCCAGGACTTGACCCAGTGTAGGCAAAGGTTAATTTGTCTTTTTGATGCATATTTTCTATACATATAATTACTACGTGGACAACTGTCAGTCGTTAAAAGCATGCAATTAATTCCAATAATTCAGCGATTTGTAATATAATGAAAAAAACTATAAAGGGCATCTTTTATTTCATACAACAAATGTTTTATAGGGTTTTACAGATAGATTAAAATACTCATACATTTTTTAAGAAAATACATTTTTTAATACTTTATGGCAAACTGTTTTACACACGTTTGACATGGTGTGTGTTTTGAGGGTCAGGATGGGAAAAATGAGACACTACATAGTACTTGGAGGTTGTGTGAATAAGCATGATTGTGGTCATTTCTGCCAGTAAATAAAATTAATGCAAAGAATTGCATGGTGCTATGAAACTATTGCCAGAGAAAGCATATAAGACCTTTTGATGACTGTGCAATCTTAACTGTTTTTTAGTGGATGCTTGTCTCAGTGGTCTATTGAGCAGAACCATTAAGCGAAAGGTTATTAGGTTGTGTTTAAAAATGAAATGTGTTATTTTTTTGTAATAAAGTTTGCAATAACAAATTCTGTCATGACTGATGCTCTTCTAAAATTTAAAAGATTTAAGTCATGCATTTAAGACTTTTTTCCACTTGTGTTACTTTGATAAAAAAAATCTTTATTAAAATATTATGTATGACATAAAATACAGCTAAACTTAATGGTACAATGATACAGTTTTATAAAATAAAACAAGCCAATAGATATAATAAATTTAAATTTCATATATAATAATCTACAATAATGGCATTAATGTATATCATATGCTGGGAGCAGCATTTTAACCAGCATTAAGAATTAAGTTTGTTTTTTATTATAAAATGTAGTTTTCAGCTATCATGGCTTTATTTTATTTTATTTTATCACATCAAGCTGACTACTCAGATGATAATAATATATTTACAAAAAAACAACAACAACAACAATCCTTTGCTTAAACTTTAAAGAAAAAATGATTATTCTTATATAAGAATTTCTACTAAATTGAATTTAAAAAACAAAACATATATCATTAGGCAATAATTAGTTCACAATTACCCATATTTCAATCTAATGATTCACTTTCTTCATGAGACACATTCCAATCTAAACACCAAACGGCACAAAAACAGAAACTAACTTACTCATTACTGATTACCCGTGAACTACAAAAGAGCAAGAAGACACTTTAATAACATGCAGCTGTTCAGCAATGAGGAACTACAGAGCAGCCTCTTAGTACGACTGTCTGAAGTGTGTGAGTTGAAGTCAGCAGGACTTCTTTTAGGCTTTTGAAGATTTTTTACTTCTCATCCAAAAGCCACTTTCGAAGAAACAAACAGAAAAACAAAATCTAACCCTCTAATTTTACGGCCATTAAACAACACTAAGCAGAGTATGCTACACGTTTTGAAAATGTTAAAAACTCTGTACCTTATAAGGGAAATGTAACACAAGTCACCACAAATCGATGATGAATAATCACAGCACGAGTGTAGGTGTGTGTGAAACGCTAACATAAAAAAGTAAACAGAGTTGAAATTCAAGAACCTTGATAAGGTTTTACAAGGTAAATCAACAGTAAATTCTTACAGATCCACTCTTTTACATTCTAAGAATAAGAATAAGAAGACCTTTATTTATCCCGAGGGAAATTCTTTTGTCACGTACATGCTCAAAGCAGCAGGAGAGACAGAGGAACAGATGAATAAGATATACAATATATACAATAAGAATAGTAGTATACAGTAATATACAGTAGGGAGTCAGTTCTTCATACTACTCAGACATGCAATAAAAAATTACTACATACCTAAAGGGACTAAACACACAAGAGGTGGTGCTTGTAAGCACTTTATGGTAAGTCTGCTTTTTGTGTATTCCAGCTGAGTTCCATGAGATTCCAAAGAAAGTCTAACGATAACACTATAGGATTAAGATTTTTTTTTTTAATATAGACTTATTGGTGTTCCTTGCCTTTACAGTTATCTACACTTGGCCTTCCTCTGAAAGACGAATGACTGCCAGAAATATCTGTGTGATATGGAGGTGTTTGAGAGCAGTTTGAAAGCATGTAAATTTTTTTAACTTATTTATTAAATTTCCATTGATTACTTAGTAAAATTCTCTTTTTTGAATCATACATTAGCCCGTGCTAACAGAGCGTTTAATTGTTATTTCCTGGCGTGAGAGAAGCTTCTGTAATTAGAGAGGAAATGCAGGGTTATTTTTGTGTTAGATAACAATGGCAGGGAGGAAACAGTGGGTTACTACTAACAGCTGTACTGAAAAGATTCAAAGTCAAATTCAAATTTTATTTGTCACACACACACAACCATACACAGTATGACATGGGGGTGAAATGCTTGTAGCTGTACAATGCCCGACCATTAAATGACACAAGAAAAGTTTTACAATATTTACAATTTACTACAAAAATTTACAAATTAACTTAGGAATTTACAGTAAAGAATGTGCAAATAGCAGAAGAGATTATAAAGATAAGGATTATAAATTATAGGAATTATAGGAAATGTGTGGTGGTGCGTGTGGTGACGTGTGCAGTCCTACACCTGGTTCAGGGCCCGAATAGCCTGGGGGAAGAAGCTCCTCCTCATTCTCTCTGTTTTGGCCTTAAGGGAGCGGAAGCGCTTCCCATACCTCAACAGTGAGAAGAGTCCATTGTTGGGATGGGAGAGGTCCATCATAATCTTCCTAGCTTTGGACTTGCACCGCTTGGTGTAGATGGACAGCAGGTCAGGGAGCTCTGATTGAATGATGCGTTCTGCCGAGCGCACCGCTCTTTGCAGATCTCGTCTGTCCTGCTTGGTGCTGTTCCCAAACCAGGTGCAGATGTTTGACGTCAGGACGCTCTCGATGGTGCAGGAGTAGAAGTTCTTGAGCACCTTCAGTGGCAGATGGAAGTCTCTAAGTCTTCTGAGGAAGAAGAGACGCTGGCGGGCTTTCTTAACCAGGGTGTTGATGTGGCAGGACCATGACAGGTCCTGAGTGATGTGGACACCCAGGTATCGGAAACTGTCCACTCTCTCCACTGGCGTGCCACTGATGATGAGGGGTTTGTAATTCCTCGCCTGCTTTGTAGTGAAGTCCACGATCAGCTCCTTAGTCTTGCTGATGTTTAGGAGGAGGTTATTCTCCTGGCACCAGGTCTCCAGGTTCCTAATCTCCTCCAGGTAGGCCGTCTCGATGTTGTCGGAGATCAGGCCAACAACAGCAGTGTCGTCAGCAAACTTGACAATGGAGGTGGTGTCTGATGTGGCTACACAGTCATAAGTGTACAGTGAGTACAGCAGGGGGCTTAAAACACAGCCCTGAGGCGCTCCAGTGCTGAGTGAGATGGAGGGGGAGACTTGTTTTCCTACCCTCACTGATTGGGGTCTGTCTGTGAGGAAGTTGAGGATCCACTGACACAGTGATGAGCTGAGTCCTAGATCCGTCAACTTGGTGAAAAGCTTAGAGGGAATTATTGTGTTGAATGCTGAACTGTAGTCCACGAACAGCATCCTAACATAATTCCCTCTGCCAGTGTCCAGGTTACTCAGGGATGTGTGGAGCAGGTGAGATATGGCATCGTCTGTGGAACGGTTAGTCCGGTAAGCAAACTGAAGTGAGTCGATGGTGGCAGGAAGTGAAGAAGTGATGTGATCTCTCATCAGTCTTTCAAAACACTTCATCACAATTGAAGTCAGTGCTACTGGACGGTAGTCATTGTGGCAAGCGGGATGTATATACTTCTGTGCCTTGTTTTTTAGTGCTTAGAATTATTAGGCATTCTTAACATTACATTGAAGTTTCTTAGTTATCTGGTCTAATGTGCCTTTGCTACACAACAATGGCAACAACTGTAAGCTGTTAAGATCATACTACAATAAGAGTGAATAACAGTATGGCTTTTTATCAGAGAACATCTGGGATGATGTAGAACATAGTTTTATGAACAATGCCAGGAAATAATCAATAATCAAGCACTTCTGGTTCACTTCTTGTGAGAGTGGTCCTAATATATATGAACAACTCTGAGTAACTGCAGTACATATCATTCCTCAAATGTAAATCACACAGAAGTGAATGAAGAGACCTCAAAACACCATCATAAGCTCCTTTTCACACAGAGAGGGTTGCAGACTGAAATTTTAAAAAAGAAATTCAACTAAAAATATTAAAGTTTTCAAAATGTTTATCTTTGTGTTTTCCTAAAATAAACAGCAAGGGTTGAAAACAGACATACCGACTTCAAAGATGGTTGGAAAGAAGTTAAATGACATAGGTTTTATGGAGTTTATGTTTTACTTACCAAGAGTGATTGTGCTTTCATAACATGAGTTTATGTGAATGTTTGAATTACACTGAAAATAAAACAGAAAAGACTAGAAAACAGGTCTAATTCTAAGCAAACGTTATTGTAAGTCCAAATTGCTAAAATAGATTAAAAGATATGGTTGGAATAAACGTGTAGATAAGCTAAACTAGCTAAGATGATATGCTTGGGGTAAGAAAAATATTTTTGCTTTAGCACATATATTTTCAGCATTTCTTTAGTATTAGATTTAACTTTGCTACCCTCCTTTAGTTAAAGACTAACAGTAAGCCTTTGGTTGCACTTATACACACATTATAAACCCCATTTATATATTGTATTTTTTTCAACTTGGAATAAATTTCCCACTAACTTGCAGGTCCACCCATTCACATTCAAAGAAAACTATCCTTTTTCCACATTATGAAGTACCCGATTTCATCATTAAAAGGAAAAATTTGGAAAAGAAATATCAGATAGACTAAATATCATAATAATAATAATAAAATAAACAAATATATATGTGTATAAAAGTAATTAAAATGACTTAAATGATAAACCAGTTACAAGACTTCCAAGTAATTATTTTTTTGGCCTTTTTTAACTTTATTAGATGGACACAGTATAGACAACAGGGAGGTGGGGGCAGAGAGAGAGGAGAAGGCACGCGGCAAAGGGCCGCGGGTGCTACTCAAACCCAGGCCGGCCGTTCTCAGCCGTACGGCATGTGGTCGCTCGCTCAACGCACTGAGCTAAACCAGCGCCGACTTTCAAGAAGTTCTTAATAGAAGTGAGACCATGTTGGCAATTTTTTTATATGGAAAAAACTCACAAGTTGATAGGTTTGTAGCTTGAACCCATCCGCTGGAACGTTGAAGGCAATATAATTACACTGCAAAGCAAGACACAAGTAGGCAAGCTTCTTCATGTTTCTCGTGCACGGGAGAGAACCGGACAGGCACCGTTCCTTCGCTTGACCCCAGTTGCTCTCGTCCGTCGTTCTCCCGTACCACTGTCCTTTTATTGAGGTTACATGAATATGCATAGGTTCATTAACATATGACGTCTACATACACACAAAGAGTACCTTGCCTGTGTGTGTGTGTGTGTGTGGTGTGTGTGTGTGTGTGTGTGTGTGTGTGTGTGTGTGATGGTCAAGATGTGACCTGTGGAGTGTGTGTGTGTGTGTGTGTGTACTGCTGATCAAAGGGTCATAAAAGCACACAAGCAA